GACGACAGAAATTTTTTCTTTTATGAAATAATTTTATACACTTTATCTCTCTGATGCATAAACAAAGAAAACTTACGATGGGTCAGAAAAGACCCGGCTTCCATTTTCGTCCGACTGTCGGACCTCTCCGGCCGTCCGACGATTAAGAGACACCCTGTATGTTTACATTGAAGCTTGAAACGCTCAAAGAGCGAAATGGATAATCGATCTCGTTCCGGGAAACCGCGAGAATCGTTTCATAGAACGGGTAGATCTTTGAACGATGACGGAAATATACGCGCGAGTATGAGAATGGTCGGATGCAGAAGATAAATACAAGGAGTTGCTGCGGATTGTACGAAGGGAGGACGACGAGAGCTGAACGTTCTTCCGCGTCTCGGAATTAAATTCGACCAAATTCTCGGAATCGCTAGGATATTTGATCTGCGCAAATCCCTTTTTAATGAGATAAAACGTTCGCCGGCGGAAGACTAAATAAATTTATACTTCATTAGGTATCATCCGTAGCCTGTTAAATCGGACTGACTCGGCGACGTTGTCGAAGAAATGACTGATCGGTCGATTCTTAATTATACGCGCGATGTGCTTTAATGTCTGCGATGATAAAAATCCTGACGAGAAGAGTAAAGAAATTCGTTAAATTTTTACTCCTTCGTTGAAGATATGCTTCATTCAGGCTTGCAAAGTTATTAACAGAAGTTTCAAATTATATTTTCTATAGTTATTTAACTGTATTTGTATTACATAATATACAGTGTCTAACTAAATTAACGAAAAATAAAATTGGCAATTTTAGCAGATTTTTTCATAGATTATTTGCTAGGCAAATCCATCGAAACGAAATAACTCGAAATAAACAATTTGAAGTTTACAAGGAGTTAGTAAGAGATTCGATATTGATGTAAATTGGCAGATAGTCAAAAGTTATTGTTTACATGCTTCTTCTATATCACCTTTCTATTCGTGGTATTTCAATTTCACGCGTATTACGTTTCTTGCATTCAGGCGATTTCAATTAATCGTATGGTTTCCTGGAGGACTAAAAATCACTCGAATCCTTCACATTTCTTCAAATACCTGCTATTCACATTCAAGCTTTCGGCGCATTTTAAGCATTTTTAATTCAGTCGTTGTTATTCGTTGTATCACAGCAGAGCAAATATTAATATTAAAGAGGATAAATACAAACGTTCGTACAAAGATTGAAATTACTTGCAATATTTTTATGTTTTATAACACCGATGAAATTAACATTTCTGCGTAAATCAGTATGATAAAATATTGACTGAAATGTTCACCGATAACGTTTTAATTCAGTGATAACTAGACCGCAGATGTTTATATTATTATAACATATGAAAATATGCAAAATAGAAGTACGCAGTTTGGGAATTTTATTCACAGCTAACTGCCAAATGAAATGTGTCGATTTTTTTACAGGATCTGAATGTAACTTTCAGACTTTTTCTCCAATTTTTAAAAAGTAAAAATGGCACGAACTGATCCATAGATAAATGTACCATGTAACAAATGTATTTTGCATAGTTTGACATGTTATAATTGCACAAGCAGCTGCAATCTAGTGGAAACTTAACATGTATAGGAAATAATATAGAACATACAAGAAACATTATCGAAGAACATTCATGCTTAGGGAATAAATTACCCTCTAAAGCTAGGAATTGACAAAGTGATTCAAATAACTTGAAAATAAAAAGCGATAAAAATGCTAAATACGAAAGTTACTCGACTTTCTATAAAATAGCGAGGGACACTAAAGCTAAAAAGAAGTATGTTTCTGCAAATATTCCACATGTAACTTAATTGTTTTTAGCAAAATAATTGACAAAGTGGAAGTCCCAAACACACATTTTTTCCCAATTTTAGAAAATTACTAGAAAATAAGAAAATGTTGTATGTGCACAGTTTCATCAATCAGTTTACTACGTCTAAGCAAACAATCGTCTAAGCTTGTAAAAGATTGAATTTTAATCTCAGTTCAAGTATTAATCACAGATTCACGATTTTAACGCATTAAAATTGAGGCATGTGAAAACATCCTCGAACAGAAAGCGCTTTTCCCTTAAAATAGCAGAACCACAAACTTAGCTCAGATATCTACCGCGACACCAGAGTGATTATTTATAGCTTGCCAAGACTGTAGTTCGTTCAAATTTAAGATTCAAATTGCCTAATTAACTTACATTCGATCTTGTCGTTAAAACATTTTTGGTTAAACACTGTGTCTGTCGATGTGATTGGAATTTACACTCACAAGGTAAGTTCGGCAATTTCAAAAAATTTGAGACTTTGTAGAAATGTAGATGAAGAAACGCTAATAAACGAAAATATTTCTTATCTCGGCAATGAAACGGTCCTAGAGGTGAAAACACCGCCTCGAAGAAATTGTGAGCTTTCATATCGTCGTGAATATTTACGAAACCGTGTAAAATATGGGAAAAAAGTTGAATTCAAAGTTGTGTGATTTTACATTTTTATTGATCAAAAAAAAAAAAAACTTCACATCGAGAGTTATACGACTTTACATTAACTTTTGCATACGATATGGTAGTAAAGATTTTTTCAAAATTTATCCCCACCACATTTTTTGAAAATTCTTGTCTCTCGAAGAAATCCTTGTACACCTCGTTAGAATTTATTCTGCGTTGTATAATTTTAATAGAGAAAGTAGTACATATTTACTATTGGTACAAAGAAAAATAATTTACATCCGTTTGTCAATAATCAAACAAATATAAATATAAACAGATATTTTTCATTAAGAGAAAAATATTTCGAGTGTCATCTTTTCTATTTACTTGGAGCTCTGTTTGTAAACATGTCGAATTCTTCGACATCGTGAGGAAATCTTTTTCATCTTATTTTTGTTGCATTATTCCTTTCCCTTAGTTCAATTGTAAACAAACGAATGTAAATAATTTTTCTGTGTACTACTGGTAAATGTTATGTTTCTTAACAAAAT